TCATATAAAAAAGTTTAAAAAAGAAAAGCACATTAAACCTAAAGAAAATAAAAGGAAGGGTATAATAAAGACAAAATCAGAAATTAGTGAATAGAAAAGAAATACACAAAAGCCAAAAGTTGGTTGCTTGAACAGACCAATAACGTTGATAACCTCCTGGCAAAAATTATCATGAATAAAAGAGAGAGAAGGCAAATAACCAATACCAGGAATAAAAATGAAGATATCATGACTGAGACTAAGGTCAGTAAAATATCATATGATATTATAAACTCTATACCAGTAATTACAAGGAATAATTCCTAGAAAAATAAGACTTACCAAAACTTCCTATATCAATGAATTATAAGCAAAAGGCCTGTTTACAATCAGTGTGACAGTGACATACACCCAGAAATAATTACTAAGTACCTGTTTTATTTCTTTGCCTTTTTTTCTGATTGTGCTAAGTAACTTCCATAATTTACAATCAGAATTGATTGATGCAATTCAGCCTAATACATCCTTCTTTAAAAATATTTTGGTGTTCCATATATACAAATGGAAAAACTGCCCCATCATACAAAGGGACTCTCACATAAAGTACTTCATTTTTTCTGGGGCATAAATTTGTAAGCTAATTTCAATCTCTGATGTCATCTTTAAGAGAAATTGGGTTTTTGCTTGACGATTTTAAAAGCTAAAATTTAAATTCATTTGTTTTTGCTCTAAATTGACATTACACGCTTAAGTGACATCAGAATATACACTAATTAAAAGTTTCAAGTAATTACATATTTTTAAGGTCACCACTATATGGTAGAAACTAAATACAATGCAGCCAAAATAAAATAGCTCAAATTCTCCTAAGAATGAACAACTGCAATGCTCACTGTATCATACTTAAAATGTCAAAAATGAGTCTTTCCATGTGCCTTGTGGTTCAAAAACTAGAACTGTGATGTTATAAACAAAAGTTATTCAGGTGAGAACTAGCAAACTAGTCAATGAGTTTGATTCTTTCATTATTTTCCTCAAACTTTGTCCATTAGGTAGAAAAACTGGTTTTAAAGCTTAAAGGTGAAGGGGAAAAGTAGTCAGCTTTTCAGAGTCAGGGGAACATAAAATATTGAAATAATTATAAACAAGAACAGTATTATAGCTCCTTAAAGACAGAAATTATGTTTCTTATTTCTTTCTGTATCTTCTAAAACACCTAGTCCTATAATCTTGACATAGTAAATTCCTAAAAAAAAAAAAGGGAGGGGGGAGGGGGGGGAGTTGAAATATTTAGGTTTACATAAGGCATCATTCATACAAAGAAGAATCATGAGAAGTTGAGGAAATAGACTAGAAATTCTCTGAAAATGTAAGTGACCTATACAAGTTATGGAGTTGGGTGGGCCTTGCTATGCTCTATTAAAATTAGCAAATTAAAATTTGCACATATTTTGTTAAATTTATTCCTAAGTATTTCATATTTTTATGCTATTGTAAATAATATTTAAAAATTATTTTTTATTTAAATTCAATTAGCCAAGGTATAGTACATCATTAGTTTTTGATATAATGTTCAATGATTCATTAGTTGAATATAACACCCAGTGCTCATCATGTGCCCTTTTTAACTAAATACAAAACTAAAAAAAAAAAATTATTTTCCCACTGCCTATTGCTACTATATAAATATACAACTGATGCTGTACATTGACCTTGTATCCTGTGACCTTTCTCAATTCACTTATTCTGATGGCTTTTTTTTTCCGTAGATTTCCCAGAATTTTCTATATATACAATCATGTCATCTTTAAATAAAGACAATTTTACTTCTTCCATTTAAACATGCATTTTAGTTTTAGTTTTTTCTTGTCTTATTGCACTGGTAGGGCCTCCAGCATAATGCTGAATAGTGAATATCCTTGCCTTTTCCTCATCATAGAAAGAAAGCAGCTTTTCACCATTAAATATAAGTTAGCTACAGGTTTTTCATAAATACTTCTTATCAAGGGGTGCCTGGGTGGCACAGTTGCTTAAGTGCCTGTCTTTGGCTCAGGTCATGATCTCAGGGTCCTGGGATCGAGCCCCTCATTGGGTTCCCTGCTCAGTGGGGAGCCTGCTTCTCCCTCTCCCCTCCCCCTGCTTCTGCTCTGTGTGTCTGCCTTTCTCTGTCAAATAAATAAATAAAATCTTTAAAAAAAATGCCTCTTTTCAAGTTGAGGAAGTTTCCTTCTATTTTTAATTTGCTGTAGTGTTTATTATGAATGGGTATTAAATCTTTCCAAATGCTTTTTTTGCAATGATTGAGATGATCACATGGTTTTTCCTTTATGCTGTAAATTAAATGGATTACATTATTTGATTAATTAAGTCAACCTTATATTCCTGGGATAAAACCCACTTGGTTATGATGTATTATCCTTTTTATAGATTTTTGAATGTGATTTGTTAATACTTGTTAAGGGTTTTTTGTATCCATGTTCATGGAAAATGCTGAACTGTAATTTATTTCTACAATGCAGGTCTGCTGGTGAAAAAATATTCTCAGCTTTTGTTTTTCTGAAAATGTCTTTATTTTTAAAGAATTTTTTGCCAAATACATTATTCTACACTCACTTTTTTTCTTCTTTTGGCACTTTCAAAACAATTATTTCACTGAATTGTGGTATTTATTTCACATGAAAAATCAGCAGCCGTTTTTATCATTTTCCCCTGTATATAATATGTCTTTTTTTCCTCTGGCAGTTTTAAAGCTTTTGTTTTTCAATTTACAATAATTTGAGTATAATGTACTTTGTTGTGGTTTCCTGTTTATCCTGCTTGAGATTCACTGAGTTTCCTGGATTGGTGATCTTATACTTTCAATCAAATTTGGGAATTTTTCCACCATTCTATCTTCAAATATTGTTCTGCCCCATTCTTTCTCCTTTCTTTGGAGACTCCAATTGCTCAGATGTGAAACTGTTTTTTTAGGGTTGCCATTCCCATATTGAGAAGTCCTAATTATTGCCTCATTATGCTTATTTTCTCCTTTTAAATACCTAAATATATTTATGGTAACTGTTTTATAGTCCCTGTCTGCTAATTCCACCATCTGTCATTTTTGGGTTTATTTATTTTTTTTTTTTTTAAGATTTTATTTGTTTGCGAGAGAGAGAATGAGAGACAGCATGAGAGGGAGGAGGGTCAGAGGGAGAAGCAGACTCCCCGCTGAGCAGGGAGCCCGATGCGGGACTTGATCCCGGGACTCCAGGATCATGATCTGAGCCGAAGGCAGTCGCTTAACCAACTGAGCCATCTAGGCGCCCCTTTGGGTTTATTTCTATTGACCAATTTTCCTGCTTCTTTGTATGTCTAGTAATTTTCTATTGAATGCTTGACATTTTGAATGCTATGTGTTGTTCAATGGATTTTGCAGTCTTCTTTCATTTCATGTTAAGTTTGTTTGGTTAAGAAGTTAATGTACTTTTGAATAAGATTGATCTTTTAAAGACATTTCCCCCTAACATCCATCCCCTTAGTTTTTAAAGTCATTCTGTATGAGAAAAATTTCTAAAATACTACCAAATAGCAAGAATCCTTGTTTTCTCAAGAGTTATGTTTTAACTTATTAAGGATGGGCATAGAGTAGCTTTTATTCTAGGAGTAGATTGGTTCTACCTCTAATGCACAGACTTTATAGAATATCTTCTGAATATCAGGAGTGTTTAAGGAAGGCTCCTAACCACCTGGGAGCTCTGGTAGTTGTTCAGCTCACAGATCCCTGGTAGTTTTAAGTTTCCTAGTGTTTGTTAGTCTTGTACAGTTTTATAATTCTTTACTATGGTAGGACTAATCAGGTACCACTTACTCCATAACAGTCAGAGGTGTAAATCCCAAGAGGGAGCTTCTGACCATCTCCCAGCTTTACATTGTTTCTCTTCTCTTTCTCCTATGACTCATTAGTTCTGCCTTCTTTTCTCCTACATTTTTCTCTTAAGAACATATCATTATTTAATGAAAGGACCCAAATGAGAAATTAATTCTTGCAAATCAACCCAACATTTTTTTGCACTACACAGTATTTTTTACCTCCTGGGATTAAAATAATAATTCAATCTAGTTTTAAGTTGCTTATTACTTGGTATATTCTTTGATTTCTCTATTTCTTTCTCTTTCTCCCTCTCCCCATCTCTCTCTGTCTATCTGTCTCTCTCTCTATTTTGGCGGATGTGCTACTTACTTTTATTTTAGAAAGATTTAGAACAGGCTGACTGAGAAAACTAAAACAATTCATGTCAAGAGTATCTATATGATTAAAAGCTCTCCCTGGGGGCACCGGGGTGGCTCAGTCGTTAATAAGCATCTGCCTTCGGCTCAGGTCATGATCCCAGGACGCTGGGATCGAGCCCCACATCGGACTCCCTGCTCCGTGGGAAGCCTGCTTCTCCCTCTCCCATTCCCCCTGCTTGTGTTCCCTATCTCGCTGTGTCTCTCTCTGTTAAATAAATAAATAATAATAAAATCTTAAAACTAACTAACTAAATAAATAAAAGCTGTCCTTGAACCAGCATTCCGACCACACAAAACTAAATAATCCACAAAGTGTTTATAAGGAAGGCAAGGAGACTAATAACTTACTTCTTCTACATTTTTGGTTCCTCACCTCATACCTGAGATCATATAGTTTATTGGTTCTCCTTGTGAGCTATTTTAGCTTCCTGTTAGTGAATGGGCTTAGTCTCTACATATTTTTATTCTAATTTAAGAGCCTTTATGTTGGTGAAATCTGCTCCTAGAATGTAATGTTCAACACTCTCTGTCCACAAAATATCTATTAATTCATGTTTATAAAGCATTAGTCACTAAAAAAATAAATTTTCCAACGTTTTATTGCCTTTTAAGGAAAAGAGAGATAAGGACAGGAGGAACAAAAATGAAACTGGTTTATAAAATGGGTTTTAAGAAAGTATTTTTAAATTGTGCTGGGAGAAAAATAAATGATTAAACTAGATCTCAAGAGGTTATGGGTCTTATACTCTTACCTGTGCAGCTGGATGTATTCTCGGGGTCTGTTGAGCAGGTGAAGGAATCTGTCAACAACCTTGTTTTTTCCTACACCCTGTAATTACACAGCGAACATTAAGTAAAAAGAGACTTTTGTGGAAGTAAAACAAACCAGAATAATCTGTTGCCAAAACCTACTTTCTCAAAGTTTGTACTTTTTCAGCTCATAATGAAAATATACACATATACATACATACACACATATATGTTTACATATAGCAAACAAATATAGTTTCTCTGACATAAAGGCTTTTTAAAAAATTTACTTCTAAATACACTAGCTTCATTTACATCAAATACACTAAACATGCTCTTCTTATTTAAAAGGAACTTCATAATTATTTTTAGCCCTCTACAGCTAGTTTTATCTTTTTTTTTTTTTTTAAGATTTTATTTATTTATTTGACAGAGAGAGACACAGCGAGAGAGGGAACACAAGCAGGGGGATTGGGAGAGGGAGAAGCAGGCCTCCCGCCAAGCAGGGAGCCCGATGCGGGGCTCGATCCCAGGACCCTGGGATCATGACCTGAGCCGAAGGCAGGCGCTTAACGACTGAGCCACCCAGGCGCCCCTACAGCTAGTTTTTTCTGCTTCATAATTTTACACTGAAGTTTAGACATTACAATACAATATTAACAATTTCAGATTTGAAAAATGGCATCAAAGGCAATAAAGTAAGTATAAAAACAATGATTTTTTCTTATCAATTCTTTGGAAGTATGGTTTCCAGTTACAGGCAGATAAATATAATACTATACTTCTGTTTTAATAAAACGCTCATTCTTCTCTCCTTCTATCCTACTTTCTAATCCTTCAAAACCATGGAAACCTAAATTATAACCAGGGTTTATTAGTAACTCTCAACTATATCTGCTCTTGTCAGCAATGTCCTCATTTCCTTGCCACTTATTGATGCTGAGAGTTGCTGTCCTTTGGTGGAAGACAGACTGTTAAAAATGGAAACCACTCCCATGCCAGCTCCCCATTTTAAAGTTTTCACTTAGAGGTGGAATACTGTATTAATGGGATGTGACTCTTTTAACAAGTGGGTTGTGTGGGAACAGTAGAAGTGGTTAAAAAGCTAAATTCCATATATCATATGTTCTAGCAATAAATAACTTATTAATTTCTTATATCCTGCCAGACTCTATCCTAAGTATATCATGTGTTATTTCATTTAATCCTAACAGTTCTACGAGGTAGGTAGTATGATTACTCCAACCTCACAAATCAAGACACCAAGACTCAGAAAAGCTAAGCAACATGTTCATGGTCACACAGCTAATCACAGGGGAACCAGGATTCAAATCCAGGTCTGTCTGATTCTGATGCTAATGCTTTTTTTAGTCCCAACATTATGGATTATACTTCTTTCAGTCTGAAACTGATTTAGGTAAACTGGGCCTTGAATTTTCTCTTTCCCCACTTCTAGGAATCCATTTCTAAAGAAATAATTAGGCAGATCAGGGAAATGCATGGCGCTGAGCAGTAAGAGCAGAAGAAGCCCAATAGAAGGAAGCAGGCATTATTATTGATTTTTCTGCTACATCCTCAAATGTCTTGTAAAGAAATCAGTCTATAAGCACGAAGGATAGAAATTCAAATCAATCAAATGAGTATTTATTGAGCATCATCATAGTCCTAGAACTGTGACAGTTCCTCTAAGATAAACAAATTCTCAAAGAAATTATGAGAATTTGTCCTTCACAATTCTCAAAAGAAGGCAAGACACATACATACATGTGGAGCACAGAAGACAAGCCACCAGTGTAGCTAAACAGTTGTTAATTTATATGATATAGGTTCTTTTTTTTTTTTTTTTTTCAAGTAGGTTCTGTACCCAACTGAACTCACAACCTTGAGATCAAGAGTCACATGCTCTATCAACTGAGCCAGCTAGGAGCCCCTTTGATATACGTTCTAATAGCCTTAGAATCTTTCTCTTCTCTTTGGTCCACTAAATATGTCATAAGATCATAGATGCAAGAGAGACTAAGGGGACTGGACTGATTACCAACTACTTAATAAGACAGAGGTATGAAGCACACATAGACAGTAGCAAGCAATTAAGATCCATTGTACATCCTCGACTCAGAGAGAAACACAATGAAATCAATGTTTAAAGAAGGTCAATATAACAATACTATGCAAAATATACTGATTGACAAAAGGAGAAACTGGTATCTAGGAGATTTATTGTTTACTCATTCAACATAGAAACAAACATTTATTGAGTGCTGGCACGTGTCAGGAGAGATAGCAGTGAACAAGACAGATAAAGTTTCTGCTCTTATGGAGCTTCCATTTCAGGAGTGTGGAGACAGATAGATTGGAACGTAGATTAGAAAAGTAGGTAGAAAGGCAGCAAGATGTAATTAGACAACCAAATAAATAAGAAAGGTATCAAATAGTGATATTCTCTACACACAATTAAGATAGGGTGAGGCAATACTGACTGGGTGGTTATTAATATTGATTCAGAAGTGAAGACTTTTCCTTAGGTAACTTTAAGCTCAGATCTAAATGACAAGGAGCCAAGTGCTATAACGATCACAAAAGGGGCATTCCAGGAGAAGAGTTGCTATAGCTGATCCTCTAAAGTGGAAATAAGCTCAGGATATTTGAGGAACAGCCAGTGTGTTCAAGTGTTGTGGGCCAGAAAAGAATATATAAGATAAAGAAATAAAAGTAAGTAGGGCTGTGGGGCGCCTGGGTGGCTCAGTCCTACTCTTGATTTCGGCTCAGGTCATAATCTCAGGGTGGTCAGATCGAGCCCTGGGTCAGGCTCTGTACTCAGCAGAAGTCTGTTGGGGATTCTCTCTCCCTCTGCCCCTCCCCACTGCTCTGTTTTTCTCTCTCTAAAATAAATAAATAAATCTTAAAAAAAAAAAAAAGGTAAGTAGGGTCTAATCAAATAAGTTTTACAAGCCAAGTTGAAGAAGTGGGATTTTATTCTATGAGATGGGGAGCCACTGGAAGATTTTTTTAGCAGAGAAGTGGCATGAACTAATACAGATCATAAAAAAAATCACTTTGGTTAGGTATGGAGAGTGAATTATAAGGGAGGGAGTAAGGATGGAAACCAGGAAGCCAGTTGGAATGCTACTCCAAGAGCCCAGGTGAGAGATGGTGATGGCTTAGATTAGGGAGGTATAAATGGAGAAGAATGGATTCCAGCTGTTTTGCAAGAAAGTTGACAAAACTGGCTGATGGACTGGATACGGGAGGATAAAGGAAAAGAAAGATCAAAGATTACTTCTAGGGCGCCTGGGTGGCTCAGTTGGTTAAGCGACTGCCTTCGGCTCAGGTCATGATCCTGGAGTCCCGGGATCGAGTCCCGCATCGGGCTTCCTGCTCGGCAGGGAGTCTGCTTCTCCCTCTGATCCTCCATCTCATGCTCTCTCTCTCTGTCTCATTCTCTCTCTCAAATAAATAAATAAAATATTTAAAAAAAAAAAAAAAGATTACTTCTAGATAGTTCCTTGAGCAAAAAGATGGGAAAGGCTGGGGGGGGGGGGGGGGGGAGTCTTTTTTTCCCAGAGGAAAATCAAGAGCTAACTCTTTCTCCAAAGCACTTATTATCATTTAACATTCTAACAATTGATTTACTTGTGTGTTATCCTTCTCCCAGACTGGAAATAGCTCACTGAGAAGCTGGTTTTGTTCACTACTGTATTGCTAGTGTCTAGAACAGTGCTGGCACAAAGTAGGCACTCAAGTATGGGTCATATGAATTAATGATGTCTCCATCTCTGGCAGAAACCCCAGTCATCCTCAGTACTTCTCACTCCACCTCCCAATTCATAACTAATTCCTCTCATTTCTACCTCCAAAATATATCTTAAGTTTGCCAAATTTCTCTGGAATCATTTAAAACCAAAGGAATGTCATGTCTTGTCTAGAACAGTGCTTCTCGTGCTTTGATTAGCAAATGAGTCAGCTTTGAGATCTTATTAAAATGCAGACTGATTCAGGAGGTCTGGGGTGGGGTCTGAGACTATGTATTTCTAAGACATTTCCAGGTTGGCACCAATGCTGCTGGTCTGCAGACTGTACTTTGTACAGCAAGATACATATCTGCAGTAGTCTCATAACTGAGTTCCCTACATTCATTCATGCTATTTTGAATGTATTTTCCATACTGTAGCTGGAGTAATCTTCTTAACAGATAAATTAGATCATGTCATTCTCCTGCTCAACCCCATCTGATAGCTTCTCACTGCATTTAGAGTAAATTTGAAAATCCTTCCTGTGGCCTGCAAGGTCCTACCCATCCCTCCAGCCCTCCTGTGTGTCACTCTTTTCCTCCCAAACACTGTTCTAGTCACACTCAACTTCCTTCAGTAAAAGATTCCAAGCTCTTCCTACCTCAGGGCTTTGCACAAGCATATCCTTCTCCTCAGGGAGAGCTTTTCTCTCACTCGCTATCCTAGCCATTCTCATTCATTATCTTAATCCCCTCCTCAAAAAGGCCTTTACTACCTTCCGATATAAGTCAGGTCCTTCCTCATCTCCCACACTCACCTGTATTTTTTCCTTCTTAAGCATAAATAGATTTATATGAGTGACAACTTGTTTAAAGTCTCTCTTATTCACTATTCTATGAACTGAAAGTGCCATGGGGGGCAGGTCCAGGCCTATTTACTGCTATATCCCCAGAGCCCTGCACAGAGACTGACAGAAAAAGGTACTCAATAAATATGTGTCCAGTGAATGAATGAATGCAGAGAATTTGGAAAGTACCGGAAAAGGGTATAAATCCCAGTAAGATATATACTGTGACCATCTTAAAAAAGATCATGAATACTTGAAACTGTGCTGAGTTACAGACTTCTAAAAACCGGACAAGATTTGCAAATGATCCAATTTATACATTTCGCCTGTGAAAGATTCAGTTATCAGAGCTGACTGTCAAAATGACAAACACATGAAAGTAAGAACAATGGATCATTTCATCCTCTAGGAAACTGATATCTAACTGGATTTCTCCCCAAAATAGTTATAAGCCTAACACGGAAACAAAGAGAAGGAAAATATTTTCACATTTGCATGTAC